AAAGCATTTCATGGTGACAGAGGCACTTGGAACATCATCACTTAATGGCAACATGCAACTGGTGGGAAAGGGCCGTACTAGTCCTAGACTCCATTGAACTGCGTCCTCCATCTCCTTGATGCTCTGGGTTCAGGCTTTTTTTTTCTCCCGCTGCTGCTCTTCTGAAAATGATTCCCTCCTCTCCCCCCTAGCTGTTGGATAGATGGAGGTTAGATAAGGGAGTTTGTGTGGTTATGGCTGGAAATGTGGCACAGCTTCAGAGGCGTACTTTATACCACTCTGGGAAGCCCAGCCAAGGACTCTCTTGTAACCAACATCCAACCTACATACGGTACTTACTAATGCAAGTAATGAAGGTGAGGGCTGTTGTGTGCTGCTGTGCTCAGTGCTGCAAGGTGATGTGGGTCTGTGGCTAAGGGCCCATTCACACCATGTCCAGATCATCTCCAGACCAGATTTTTTTCTGGACCCAAAATGCATCCTAATGTATCCCTTTACTATTTCTGGCCTCTGTTCACACCAACGCACACCAGACCAGAAAAATACTGCTTGTCCTATTTTGTCTGGTCTGGAATGCACTGGAACGCATGAAAACACATAAAAATGCATGCAAACATGCTGGAACGCACCTGTAAGACCATTTTAAGCTACAAAAATATTCCAAACGCAGCAGAAACACAATGCACTGCGTTCCAGATCTGGTCCAGAAAATGGTGGGAACCTGCCCTTAATGGGTGGTTGTGTCATAGCAGGGGTTCTATCTGACCACACCTCTCCATGTGCACCCATTATGGTCATGCCACCAATTTCCCATTCTCTGGTGTCAAGCGATGTTCCAGGTAAATTTAAATCTCATCAATCCCTCTGTTCACTGGCATGCTCTTACCTTGCCTCCCTCCCTTCCCTTTTTACCTGTGAACAATGGGTCTGTTTAACCATCTACTTTTCTCCTTCCCAAGCTGGTGATTGGCTTGCTGACATAAAAATGTCCAGTATATTTAAGTGATATGGCAATGTAGTGGCCACAGGGAAAGTTTCCCCTACTGGGCACAGTTTTCCAGTACGCTTTATTCTTTTACAAAGCGTTTAATTTTTGCTACATTGCACTAACAATGAGTTGGTAGAGAAAGCCGTGGCAAGTTTTGAACATCTGTGTAATCCTTTTGTTTTCTAATCTGTCATCAATATATTGCAACTTATAAATGATTTAATACAATAGCAGCTTTTCATACTGTGCTTCCAAAGCACTGCTTAGAGTTAGGTGCATATACATGAACCAGAGGCTCTGGCTAACAAAGGTCTCTAGGCAGCTAGAAGTTCCCTCAAGGCTGGGCCCCATCTGGCTAACCGGAGAACGGAAGCCAGTGGCGCAGAGGAGGAACAAGTCAGGAGGAGACCTGAGCGGTGCTTTCTCTGGCTGGAGAAGGGGTACATGTGTCCAGAGGAGAGGAGAATGAAGATCTGCAAACGCGGAGCCAACCGCCTGTCGCTTCTGCACCCACCACTGTGGGATATTTACAGTCAAGAGTGCGATGGGACTCCCACAATAATCAGAGGAGAAGAGAAGCACTGCATGCAGCTTGGAGGCCTGGAGCAGATGAAAGGGAAGAGAGTGATGGTGGAAGAGAAAGGGTAGACTTGACTCCTGGTGTCCCTGTGACCGCAATTATTAGCTTGTCGCCTGTGTATTGTCACATGTGGACTATGTGTTGCATATTTGTGAAGGATGCCTTTGTGTCCCTTATTGCCAGTTAGCTGTCTTGAGTAGTGCCAGATCTGCCCATACAGCTTAGTTCTGTGTCCGTGTGGAACTAAGCACTGTTTGGTTGAGGACCATACTACTATAATTGTATCCCCTGCAGACCTGTTATAGTGACTTGGAACGGGATGTGCTATGGTGCATTTTATTTTTGTGTGATTTCCACTCCTTCAAGGGTTCCTGAAAATGCCAACGCATACAGAATGAGGTTGTGTAATAATGCTGGCGCTCTTTTACTATCCGGCACTCTATAGCCTGCAGGGAAAAATGAAGATGTAAGAGCAGTTTTAGTCTTGGGGAAATGTTTTGGCATCTGTGCAGTTGGATTTACAGTGTACTCTGGCAGCCAGTGCTAGAACGTGGTGAGTCCTTTATGCCACCATCTCTTCCATGTTTAATGTAAGACTCGGCACCTTGTGGTGGCATGTTCAGGCAATTGCTAAAAATAGAGACCACGGTGGTGTGAATATAAACATGTTGGTACTTGCCTTCAGCATTGTCCTTGGTTGGGGAGATGACTGCCCAGGGGAGCATACAAATGAACGGGGACTGTAGTGTCAGCATCCACAGGCACCAGTCAGTTCATTTATTTGCACATTACACAATTCACTCAAAACTTGTGACTATTCGGCCATTCGGCCATTTCTACATGAAGCATCCATGAACATCCTAAGAATGATTGTTGAATGCAACCTCGTGCTGCTTGGGCTTTAGAAATATGTGTTTTTGTTTCCTAGTAAAGGCCCTTTGGAAAATGCCAGTGGCTGAATCTGCCACATGCACAGAGCATGACCACTAAAACCCTGGTAGATGCCAGTACATGCTGATGTGCCATGTTACCATATGTTCTAAATCTACTTATAATAAGAATACTGTGGGGGGGGGGGGGGGGGTT